TCGACACATTTGTGAGGCATAGACAATAGTGTCATTCAGCGTCGCACGTGTGACAGACCAGTATTCTTTTCTACACCTGTTCCATCGAAATGAATTCTTTCCTTACCGAGGGGATAAACGAACACATCAAGCGTCACGTTCCCCGGGAGGCGAGTTTTCGTGATATCCAGTACATCGAATTTGTACCGAAGGACCGCACGGCAGGCATAATCGAAGTTACTTTCTCCGGACATTTGGGCGAACATTTCGAAAAGCAGAACGGAACTTACGTCATGTTGATTACTAGAATCATAGGTTTTTTGATTAGTTGTCTGGTAAGTTGCGAATGAAGACGGCTCGATCTGTGCGCAACTCATTTTTACGAGAGAAGTAAATTCGCTGGCCTCTCTAAGAAGTCAAAATGATATTTGTTTCTGAAATGCATTATATAAATTTTTTTAAGTACTACTATATGGACTCGCGGCTGATGAACAGCTACCAGAGTTTTTGCCACAACTTCTGCCATTATATGAGATAATGATGGTGGTTACTGGTTGCTGTTGAGCTCGTTGTTGGAAGCTTGTTGTTTGCGGCATCGAGCGAGTCGTACGCATTTATTTCTGCTATATCATGTCAATTTTAATTATGTTACTAGGATCGCTAATAAAACTCGCCAGCTGTTGAATAGAGCCAGCTGTTGTAGAATGTTTGTTTTCCGTTTGGTATTGATATCATTTGTCAGAGTATATTCAATTGATCAATTATGAACCCATAATCAAAGAGTGTTTCTGAAAATATCTGTTTTTGCTTTAAACTTTTATCTTTGTCACTGCGTATCACAGAAACTTAGACTGGCTTCATTAAGGTTGAATATAAAGTTGCCCGATTGTCTGTCGATAGACTTCAGTCATCGTCTGATAATTAGGTAGAATAGTAGTGAGCGAAGTTTGGTGCCATATGAAATTTGTCTGGGTTTTTAATTACTAAATTAGCCTTTTTAGGGTATCGGTCAGCAAGAACGCAGCTGCAGTAGGACACTTTCTTTTCCATCTGTCTCTGATCTCGTGCCTCAGACATCCCAGAGTAATTCCAAGGAAGTTGTGAAATCGAATAGAGTCGAACGTAGAGTCGAGCAGAAAGTTGAAAAAATTGATCTGCGGCCTAAACGAAAAAATCAAAGTAATAAAAATTGGTATGTTCTCAATTGGAGTATGTTTATTTTTGTTTAGACAGAATACAGGATGTTCCCAAAAGAGTGAGACCAATCGCACCAGCCATTCCAGCCACGCCGGCCCCTACGCATCTGATCGTCGCCAGATCGCTTTTCCCAGAAATGACTCTCCGACAACTAAATGGTATTTTTCTTAGATGTTTAATGACTAGAGTAGAGTACTTCACATGTGGGTTTTCAACGTTTATCAATTAAACTGTCAAAAAATGTACATCTGTTATAAGAAATTCCCTGCATTAATATTAAGTCTAAAGACTGAGCTGTATCTGTTCAGTTCGATTTTTGTCGTAATTCTCACTTAGGCTATGTCTGAAAAGCATCGATCTCTGGTACATTGGCTTAAATCAGCTTTTTCAGACAATTCGCTAGGCTGACACTCTGGATATGATCCAGAGTACAGATTTCCGTGAGAGCTTGATATACATCTGCTTCTGCAGGTTGAAAAACAACAGCTGTGATGATTTGTCCACATCTTGCGAGTGCTTTTGGATAAGAAGGAGAGACAGACACTATTTTCCAAACCGACCGAGCACCCGCGGACTACCAAGGATAATCTTGGGCAAGTATGTTGAAGGACTATGTTCCAGCCTCGAGTTTTCGTTTGCCGAAGCTCGTCGCTGAC